TTAGCTAGTTGTAGAACTTGAAAATAAACATTCCTATTCCTCTAAATTGGAGTAGAGTGAAGGATACTATCTGTAACAGTCTAACATTCAGTTATAATTTATGGAGGAGTGAGGCAAAGAAAACTGCTTGCATAATAAAATAAATCTGTTTAGCTTATTCCAGAAGGATGTAAAAATAAAAGTATTTTAAAGGCAGAAAAATATTTTCAAAAGAGCTGTTTTCAGGGAAGGAAAGGGGAAGGAGAAGAACTTGCAGGGAAAGAAAAAACTAACAACTTAAAATTAATAAAAGGAAATGCTTTGTTTACATTATGCCATTAGCGTTTGGAACTCATTGGCAGGAGGTATCGATTCCAAGAATTTAGGATTAAAAAATAACCCCTCTTAAATGGATAATGAGCACATGCACTGTTATATTAGATAAGATAAAGGATATAAACCTTCATGCTTTAAAGCATAACACAAGCTCAGAAGAGGTTAAGAAGAAACTTTCCCAGTGGACTGTTATTTTATAACTGTCAACGCCAGCATTCTTGCACCTTTTTGTGAACCATCTGGTGTTGCATCCAGGATACTTGATTGGAGGGATTGTTGCTCTAATCCATTATGGCAATTCGATAACTGAGCCCTACTTTTATAAAAATCAAATTCATATTGTGTACAGCCCTGTTTTGATTGTTCATTTTAAACCAATTTTATGTGGAAAGATGAGGGAATCCGCCAGAGATGGTGAAATGTCCCTCAGTAATCTGTCATGGGAAAAGAGATAAAAGTGTGCAAGAATCTGAATATTTTATCCATGTACATAGAATAGATCCCACAGAACTAATTTGGCTGGTACATAAGACTGTGTGTGGTTATAGACTTCAAGGATTTTGAATTTTTTGGGTCATGAGCGCGGTGCAGATTGGTTATTCTTTATATCACTTGTGCTGAATTTCCCAGTTTTATTATTTGGAGCATTCAGCATAAAACCAAAGCATATCTAACAAATATAAACATAAAGTGTTAGGCAGAGTATAAATTTATCTATCTTAACTATAAGCGCCTCACAAAAATTTACATTATACACATAATAGCAAAATAGGGCAGCCAAACAGGTGTCACCTGTAATTGCTAGGGACCTTCTATAAATACTTTAAGAAGTGTGACTAATGGGTTTGTGGCATAGAAAAAGCTCATTCTGATTCATTTGAGGAGACACCTGAAAGTTCAGTGATCATAAGAGACATTATACATTCTCTTTGATGGCACTCAGAATTCTAGCTATATTATGGAAAATTTAGTAGTGGCATTTCACTGTCATCCTACACAAAAGGAATGTCAGTTCTAATGCCATCTCTGACAAACTTTCTTTAGTGGCAAGGTTCAGAAGGAATTTCGCCTCAGGTTCGGACAGTGAGCTACAAATTACTGAGGGTGGTGAAAGGATTTTGAGGAAGTTGGCAACCGTTTAGGAGAGGAGATGTAGAGCTCTAACTTGCAGAATCCTCAGGAGCTATGTTCTGATAAGGCAAACCAGTCTAGCAAACTTGCCTGAAGTATTGCTTAGGGTAGCCAGATAATCTGTTAGACACACTGAGATAGAGAGGATTTCATTGTGAAATTAGAATGGGACTATTCATGCTACTGTGTACAGTTTAGTTCTGTAAAGAATTTGTGGTTATTTTGTCATAGTTATCTGTTATAAAACAGTTCTTTCTATAATAAATGTATCATACCACTCTTGCTTTTATTTACATGGACCTTGTGTTTTACCCAATTTAATCTAATAGCCCTTGATCACTGGTAAAACGCTACTCTATTACCTCTAATATGGAGAGCTCAAAAAGATAAGTAACGGGTGCAAATTTAACCAGATTATAAGCCTCTCTGAAAATCACATTCACATATTCTTAGTGGAGGCTTGTTAGGATTTGGCACCTAAAATCTCCAGAGACTGTCTGCACTCAGCATCCTTCATTCCATGGCTGCTGTGGTTGCTCAGGCCTTTTTTCCCCCCTCGCTTACTTTTCCCAGCAGTAAGGGAACCAGGCATCAGAACTGAGAACAGGAAACTCTTGTGTGCTCTGTGTTCTCCCTGATGGAGCACAGGTATCCTGACTGGAAAGCATAGGGGAGAAGAGGAAGTATGAAGGGAGGGAGTGGGCATAGGATCAGAGGGGGGCACAGAGATGAGTGGGGGCACATGGGCAGACGGGTCTGTAAACAGTAGAACATACTCCCCTCCTGAACATGGAATTGACCCCCAGGATTCCTTAGTCTCAAAATGCCTCTGCTGTCCAGCAAATAGCTGTGAATCACACTAGGAAAATGTGATTCTTTCTCATCTAATGGCTGGTCTATGGAATATGATAGCCTACTACTGCTACCAGTTACTGAATTCAAGTGGAAGAGGTCAGTGCTTTGAATTTAAAGTCTCAGCCCTGTTGATGACTCGTGGGGGGTAGTATGGTTCCACATGATGGAATGTGTGTTTTCAGTTTAGGGTTTTTTTTATTAGGGAATTATATATATATTTTAAAAAAGTTAAAAGAAAGTTAAGATGTCTAGAACTCAGAAATACCAGAATTAAGGTTCCCATGCAACCATAATTCATCCCTTTATGCATTATGGTAGTTTTAATTCCAGGATTACATACTGGTTTTTTGACAAGAGCCCTGCCTCATTCATTCCACACAATAGATGGTGCTCACTGGATGAGAAACATCTCATTTAACACACTAGTTACAAACACACTAATTATCTCTCAAAACAGCATTTTCAAAGTAAGAACTGGATCTGTAATACTTTAGAGAAGTAATTTTCCATATTGCACTTAAAAATGACTATGAGAAATGGCAAAGGATTTATTTTTGTATTTGTTTCACTATGATGATGAAGGAAGCATTGCCCTTTAACAGTGAAAATCAGCATGCTGGATAAGGAATTGAGTCTGACTAATTTATAAATGGGTCTTGATGTTACAAAATATACAAACATCAACTGTAAATTTGCTAATAAAGAATAAATATTTGAGAACTGACATAGCATATATTTAGATTTGGCAGAATTTGATTTTTTAAAATAATGTCAGTGAACAATATCAATGTTTGTTTTTTCATTTGATCAATTTAAATTTTCACAGTTGGAGGAAATTATTGAGGGGAGGGTCCGCCAATGTTTAATGATGTTGAGTTAAAGTTAAAGCTTTATAATTGTTAAAACATAAATAGTTAACATCACATGTCAAATTATACAGAGTAAATATCCTTAAATCACTCAGTTCTCAAACAGCATTTTTCTTACATTATCTAACTGTAAATTTTTATGATCATTGATGAAAATATTTGTAATCAATTAGTGTGTGTATGATGAAATTTACATTTACCATTAAAAATCTAATCCTACCAAGCCCCTGTATATTTGTGTGCATGACTTTAAGGACTCAGACTTCTCTTTTGAGGAGGATGTTATTGTCCTAGTGTTTTAAATATATAATATTATGCAAAAATGAATAATTACATGTCTTTCTCTACATATTAGTACGTTATGAAATTTTGCGTCTCTTGGCCGTGCTGTGCTTTTTTCCCGTGTGCTTTGTCTTGCCCCGTTTTCTCCATATTCCTTTATGCATGTTTGTTCATTGGTGAAGTCATAAGAAACTGGGATGCAACAGGTAATCATTATAGAGGAGCCCATGCAGTGTTCGGTTAACTCAGCATTTCTTTGCTAAGCAATATAACAGAATGAATGTGAATTAACTTTCATTTGTCTACTTGCTTTTAAAGAAGTGTTTGACCTATATGAAACTTCTATTAAAGTTAAACATTGATCCCTTGGACAGATGTCTGACAATTCAACCCTATTACAAGAATTTTAGTATAAAATTTAAAGTTTCTGATCTTAAAAAAAAAGAAAAACAAGTTGAACCTTTGGAGGAGAATTGAGAAAAAGAAAATTCTGGAATGTTTCCCAGGTGGCTAATGAGGATTCACTTCACAAGTATTCTCGTAACTAATCTCTAATAACTTTGGTAATGTTGGTAATTAACCTATACAATTATCTGGTGTGTGAGTTGACAACCAGTTTTGCAATCTGTGTTGCCAGTTGGTAAACTGATGTAGTGAAGAGATTTGATTGTCTTCGCTGAAATATTTACAGATTCCCTGTATGTAACTGCTTTTTTACTCCCTCCCTTGCTGTATCATATTTATTTTTTTGGTTTGTACAAACTATAAGATTGCCCGTTCTGGGTATCTTTTTTTTTAATATTTTGAAACCAAACCTTATTTCCATCTTGGAGGTGGGGGCAGAGTGGGGGGCGTTCTCTGTAGCCATAATGTCTTGGCTTCATATTGACTGAGTCTATATTTTCAATCTTATGAAAAAAATTATAATCATGTACTTTAAGAATAATCATTTGTTGCATTTCTGCAACAAAATGTTGTTTGAAAGAGTGACACAACTCTAAGCTTTCACTTAGTTTTTATTTTATTCTAAAAAATAGTTAAATGAGTAGAATGAAACTTGGACAGAGAATGTAGAGTTTCTGCAAACCATACTTCCAGAATATGTGTAACAAATTTATTAGAAAGGGTTTCTAAGGTCATTTTCTAAATGCTTAGATCAATCATTTTGTGTAATGTAGAGTGAGTGTACATTCCTGTTATAAAATTAAGGTAATTACATAAGACTGGTCCAAACAACTTATACTGGTTTAACTACAGTTGGTTTAAAAATTGTGCAAGCCCCTGTATGGACACACTTTCATTATAATTGGCTTGCATAGCTAACTTTTATTAGTGTACAATTGGCCTATATAAGGGATCTGCACAGGCTTAACTAAATGGTTTTTTAAACACATTTTAGTTGAACTAGTGTAACATTTGTGTGTAATTCAGGGCCTTGCTTTGTTGTGGGGGGTTGTATGTTTGTGTGATTCTCTGAAAAGTATGGATGAAACTGTTCTCTTTAGTGTATCTTAAGGAATGTACCAAATATGCTTTTTTGTTTTACAGGTTATTCAGCAATAGTTATGAACTCCCGGTTACGAGCATTAGGTGGGAGGATAAATAATATACGAGCATCAGAACTACCAAAAGAGAGAACCCGATCAGAGATCATCTGTAATGTCCACTTTTTGGATGGCTCAGTACAAAGCTTCAAAGTCAATGTAAGTTCTGAAGACTTTTTTTCACATTGGCTTAAAACTTGAGGTTTTCTAATTTCTATAATTCAATTATTAGCCAAATATTGTACCATGAAGTAATATTAAATCAGACCCTCTTCCCCATTCCTGCCCCTGAGTAAAATGAAGAGAGACCGTATCTTGGAATGTTACAATTTTTCCTTTCTTGTCCATTAGTCTAATTACTGCAATATTTTGTATGTTGGATCTGCAAGTCTCTAAAGTTTTCGAAGCAAATACTCTGAGACAAGTTGCACTGTAGAAGATGCCTCTCCGATCAAAGCTGTTTACTATGCACAAATCATCATTCCAAATAGCATAAACCCTTTCTAGAATTTAATACCAAACCAAAACTTAATGGAGGCATCTTATTTACTACAATATATTGAGTTAAACGCACCTTTTGGTCCTCAATGGCAGTGTCATGCAATTGGTCTAGTTGAACTCAGACAATCTAACGTGGTTGTGATTTTATTGAATTATTTTATGCAAATCCAGACAAGTCTGTATCCCGGTTATAGGGCCAACTAAATCTCTGTCTACTTTCTGGTCTCTAAGTGCACGCACCTCACATCTTGGGTCTTTAGCCCATTTTTGCTTGTTTGGAATTTCACAATTCTGCCACTCTCAGACCAGCAGCACTTGCATACACTATCCCATGTATACCAACCGCTTGTCACCCTGCAGGTTCAGTTGGGTATGACCCATGATCTAGACCAACAACCTACTTAAAGAATTTTGATTAAGCAGTTGGAATAAAGCATTAAAGAGAAAAGGATTTTAAAACATTCTGTATGCATTTCTCTCTTACCTGATATTCTACTATTCCATAATGGCATCCTAGACAGGCTTACATTCTTCAGATACCATGGTGGGTTCCTAATGACTGAGCGTGTTTCAGTTGGTGTTCTGTCTGCCTCACTGAAATTTCCCTTTTAAACCCTGCAAGGTTGTTTTCCAAAAGATTTCTTCACATGTTCACGGGCTTTGGTCCCCCTAGTCAAACCAGTTTTGTAGGCTGTTTGAGGAGAGGAGTGGGACAGAGCCATTGTCCCTAAGTCACCTTTAAGCAAAATGATTAGGTGACCATTGTGAGTCATCTCCTTGGTGCTTGGAATATTCAGACAATCCTTCTTCTTTGAGTGATGGTCCCTATTGTATTCCACTGAGGGCTAAGCTCTCTGCCTGAAAAAGAACCTCATGGGTACCGCAATCAGGCGACAGTCAGATCCTGGCAGGGGAACCCCCCCGTACATTGGTCTGAACAATCTTAAGAGTGCTCCCCCTATTGCAGCGCCTCTATCAGGCTCCATCAGTAACAGTGCTATAGACCCCACGCCAAGGCCTAGCCATGAGCCACGAAAGCTTGCACATAAGCATGGCAGTAAGTTTTCCTCCAGATACAAGAAACATGGTGCACCATCCACGAGTTCCGGCCATGGAGGAGCGATGCATTCCAATGCCCATGAGAATGACAAAAGGCTGCACCATTCGCTGGATCTGCTGGTCCCAGTTCCAGAACCATGTACCCCTTCTGTTTTGGCTCCCCTGGCGTCCCGTGAATCTTCAGTCCTGAGACAGATCCCTTTACCAGTCCTGTTTCTGTCCATAGCTGGGTACCATTGACTCCGGGGAGACTTGGAAGTGCTCCCAGACCGCATAAACAGTTTGCCCTGGAAAGAGAGAGGTCTCTGCGTGTTCCATTGCACTCACCTGCTCATGTCCTGTGTTAGATCTACCACCTGCTGGCCATACCTCTTTAATGCATCCCGTTCTGATGGCTCCGTTGGCACCACCATGTGTGCAGGGCTCCAGTTGCTCTGAGTCTGAGGATTCGGATGTTTGACATGGTCCGGACTGTTTCCGTTCTGGAGACATGACTACCTCAGGGTTGTGGTGGCACTGTGGCAGTTTCCTTCTTTACTGCAGTCAAGGAGCACAGGTATCCGGCTCCTTGGGCACTGATGCAACTGCAGAAGAGTCAACCAGGTTGGCCATATTGGAGCTTATGGCCCTCAATATTTGCCTTCGGAACCATCTTGTTCAGCATGGGAGGACTCTCCTGTTTCGCCACCTGATCCTTCGTTGAGTAGACGCTCGGAACTGCGGTTATATGATGCACCAGTCAGCCCGGTGCCGACGGATCCGGAGAGATTCCCTTCATTGTCCCTAGATGTGGCTGTCATCAACACCCTCTTCCCCACCAGAGGACTATTGTCAGTTTCAAGAGCTATTATGAAGGATAGCCAATGCTCTTGAGAGCCCACTAGAAGAGGTGCAGGACGGTCAGCACTGGTTACTAGACATTAATCTGCATGCAACAGTACAGGCAACGGTGGCTTTACCAATCAACTATGCCATTCTTCAACCAGCATGCACCATATGGCATACCCCAGGCACATGCACCCTCACCCCAAAGGGGACTGACCAAAGGTACTATGTCCCCACAAAGCATTTGAGTTTTTATTCTCAGACCCTCCACCTAACTCCCTGGTGATCCAGGCTGTGTCGGAGTGGACCAAACAGCAGCATCCACACTCCAGCCTGACACACAAGGAGGGCAAGAGGCTGGACCTTATGGCTCGAAAGGTCTCTTCAACTGGACTACGGTTCCAGATCTCTAACTACTTGGCACTTATGGCCAAGTATGACTTTATAAACTATGGATGGATGGCAGAGCTTGCAGATAAATTACCTCAGTAGGATCATTCCTGATTCCAAGCAGTTTTACAGGAAGGCAAGTTGGTCACCAGGTTAATACTTCAGGCTACATTTGATTCAGCAGACACGTCCTCCTGAGTATTGGCTGGAGTCGTCATGAGGGGGAAATCCTGGTTACGTTCCTCAGGTTTCCCTAGAGAGGTACAAAATACAATTGAAGACCTTCCCTTTGGTGAATCACACCTCTTCCAAACAAAAGACTGATGATTCCTTACTGAAAGACTCTAAAGCCACCTTACGATATACTAGCTCCAAAGTGAAAATTTTATCACCTGACACCTACATAACTCCACACTTAACATCAATGAGCCTGTGAGCCTCCTCAGAAATGGCCTAAGGTACACAGAACCCATCTGCCTGTTCCGGCAATGCAGACCTCTGGACAACACACTTAGTCATTGTGAAAAATGCAACTAGAGAGCCGTCAATCACTCCATACACCAACACTCCTACAAACCACCCCTTTTGGGGGTTGTTTCAAATTCTTTTGCCAGCATAGAGAGCAACAACAACGGACAAGTTGGTCCTGGACGTTATTCGACACAGCTGTACCATTGAATCTATTGTGCATCCCCTGCCTGATCCCTTCCCCAGGATCACTGTCCTGACAGTATTCTTAACCTAGAGGTGGATTCCCTTCTGCAGGAGGAATGGTGAAACTACTCCCTGCAGCCTTTCAGGGCACAGGGTTCTATTCCAACTACTTCCTGGTACCCAAGAAGAAAGGGGGATGGAGACCAACCTTGGATCTCCAACGCCTCAACCATTCAATTCACAAGCCAAAATTCCTCATGGTCATGCTTGCGGCCATCATTTCTTCATTAGAAAAAGGCATGTGGTTTACGGCTTTCTGTATGCAAGATGCCTACTTCTATATCTACATACCTCTGACTCACAGGCAGTTCCTGAGGTTCAAGATGGACCATTGACACTTGAGCTTACCGCTTCCCCTGAGAGCTTTCACAAAGGGTTTCTCTGTGGTAGCGACTCACCTCTGACGTCAAGGAGTCCTTGTCTTACCCTGTCTCAACCTTTCCAGACTACTGTTCCAATTTCCAGGAGTCTGATTTGTCTTGCATACGCCAAGTCTCACCTCACTTAAAAACAACTTGCTTACAAAATCAGACCTAAAAATACAAGTGTGTCAGAGCACAGTATTACTGAAAAATTGCTTACTTTCTCATTATTACCATATAATTATAAAATAAATTAGGGGCTGTCAAGCGAGTACAAAAATTAATCGTGATTAATCGCATGATTAAAAAAATTAAGATTCATATGTCCCTTCATGCTTCAACCAAAATTCCAGAGGACATGTGTCCATGCTGATGGCAGGTTCTGCTCGACAACAATCCAAAGCAGTGCGGACCAATATATATTCATTTTCATTCTCTGATTCAGATGCCACCAGCAGAAGGTTGATTTTCTTTTTTGGTGGTTCGGGTTCTGTAGTTTCTGCATCGGAGTGTTGCTCTTTTAAGACTTCTGAAAGCATGCTCCACACCTCGTCCCGCTCAGATTTTGGAAGGCACTTCAGATTCTTAAACCTTGGGTCAGGTGCTGTAGCTATCTTTAGAAATCTCTCATTGGTACCTTCTTTGCTTTTTGTCAAATCTGCAGCGAAAGTGTTCTTAAAACGAACATGTGCTGAGTTATGATCCGAGATTGCTATAACATGAAATATATGGCAGAATGCGGGTAAAACAGAGCCGGAGACATACAATTCTCACCCAAGGCGTTCAGTCACAAATTTAATTAACACATTCTTTTTTTAATGAGCATCATCAGCATGGAATCATGTCCTCTGGAATGGGGGCCGAAGCATGAAGGGGCATATGAATGTTTAGCATATCTGGCACATAAAGACCTTGCAATGCCGGCTACAAAAGTCCCATATGAACGCCTGTTCTGACTTTCTGGTGACATTGTAAATAAGAACGGGGCAGCATTATCTCCCATAAATGTAAACAAACTTGTTTGTCTTAGCAATTGGCTGAACCAGAAATAAGACTGAGTGGACTTGTTTTTTTTTTGTTTTTTTGTTACATAACTGCACTAAAAAACAAAACGACATTTGTAAGTTGCACTCTCACGATAAAGAGATTGCGCTACAGTACATGTATGAGGTGAATTGAAAAATACTATTTCTTTTGTTTTTTACAGTGCAAATATTTGTAATAAAAATAATATAAAGTGAGCACTGTACACTTTGTATTCTGTGTTGTAATAGAAATCAATATATTTGAAAATGTAGAAAAATATCC